CCCCCCTCAGCCCAACTTCCCCCACCAACCCCTGCTCTGCACTCCTTGCCAACCCCCCCCCCACTTTACCATCTGCTGCAGCTCTTCTCCTCTGGCACAGTCAGCACCAGTGCAGCCTCAGCCCAGGCTGGGAGAAGTGGTGGCAGCTCTCAACTGGGCCAGGCTGGGGCTGGGGCTGGTGGCACCACAGCCAGAGAAGTAGATAAGGGAGCATAGAGAACGAGACAGTGGATGGTGAGCAGACACAAAGAGCAAGGGGTGGGGATGGGGGAGGCTATAGGTCTCCACACCCCCACTCCAGAGCCTCCCTCAGGCACCCCTGCCCATACACTCTCCCTCCTCCTGCAAACGAGCCATTTCAGTCTGGAGCAGGTGGAGGCTCAGCTATGACTTCTGCTCTGAGCCTAGGACCAAAGCCAGGGCTGAGCTGCCACTCCCCCAGGCAGTTACGCAGATCTAAGCCAAAGCTCCCCCATCCCCATGCTGACTGGTGAAAAAAACTATTTTATTGGATTTGAATAAATATAGTAATAGCAGCTCTTATGTAGCACTTTTCATCAGTGCCATCAGTAAAGCAAATAATTTAACAAAGGTCTTTATCATTAGTCCCATTTTACAGAAAGTGAAACTCGGGTATGCATAGACTTTTCCCAGCAAGCCAGGGGCAGAGCTAGGATTGGGTGTCCTTTCCCTCACACAGTATTCTGTTCTCTAAGACTCTACTTATTTCCCACATGCACCGACTTCTGTATGACGGTTTCCAAAGAAGCAAGATCACCAGTACAACAGTAGAAAACTACAACCAAACCATACCTTACATACTGGAGGGAAGGAGCAGTTCATATTTAAAAAGGATTTCATGGAGACTATTTTGAAAGGTTTCACATTTTTAATGGGTATTTTTCAATTTTAATTTCTTAAAACTGCAAAATTATATCAACTAAACATATATTTTTAAAGTTTGCCTTTTGAGTAAATTCCCCACTTCATTTTATTGGGCACTTCTGCAAAGCACCCAAATGCCTGTGCCAATATACTGTTCAAAACTATGCCTTTTTGGTAGAACCAACAGACAAAGGAGAGTAGAAGAGAAAACAGTTAAAAAATTATGACCATTTCAGCACTGCTAAGGCAAAACCTAGATGGTATTTGCTGCCTAAAAAAACAAATTGATTATTTCCCCTATGCAGAAGCAATGTGCAAAATGTATTCTTGTACAGAGCTTTGAACTTTGTATTTGAACTTCTCAGAGAGTCACCAATCGATAACACCAAGTACTTGCAGAAAAGCATGGAAGGTGCTTCTGGATACTGGATAGGTACATAGACTGTCCACTGGAATAGCCTTCATCAAGAACTAAATTCATTACATGAGAACAAGTGACACTAAGTTTTTCCCTCGTTTACACTTAAATCCCTTTGAATTCAAGCAAAGCTGCTACATGGAGATGACAAATGGTTGCTTAAGGAATAGTTTAAGAGGATTACTGTCTTCGCTGTTAGACATCAAGTCTTCCAGCAGTTTGGAAAACAGCCAATATTAAGCTAGCATTGATTTATTGAAGGAGTAAGTCTTTCAAGAAAAAAGCAGCCAATGATGGAATGACAATATTCTAAAAGAAGATTTGTAATAAACTATGTGTACATGATGCACAGAAATGTCCTTCTTCCAGTAATCCTTGAATATTTTATGCTGGGGTTGTAAGACTATTTACAGAAAGCATTATAACAGTACTGAATTCTACAGACAGTAAATGTTAAACATTTAAAATATATAAATTTCTGAAAGGAAGTAAAGGCTGATCATTATTTAAATAATAAAACAGCAGAATATTAGCAGTACTTTCATCACTATCAACACACTAATTAGAAGTATTATCAGTAGGTGGGAAATACTCAAGATTTAAGCTTCTAGGCATTAGGGGCTGAGAACATTTGAAAGCACATTTCTAGACAATGAATGCAGATACATGCTGCACTTCTACTGATATTTATTTCCCCAAAATGTGCCAAGAAAGAAATATGTTGCTTTGATAAATAATCTGCAGGACTGGGGGGAGTGAGGGGTTGTGTTTTTAAAAGTTTTCTTATTTCCCATTTGATTGATGTGTAGTTGACAGTTTATGGATTCCTGCTTTCAAGACAGAAAAGTGTGAGAGAACATCTCTTTCTGAGGTGAAACTGAATGACATTCTCCAGAAGAAACTTCTTGGGAAAGGAGCAGAATGACATTTAATTTCCTGCCAAAATACTTAAATCTTGAGGAAGGTATCTTCAAAGCTCAGAGAAATTTTAGAAAAATCTCACTGTATTTAGAAAGGCAAAAATGTTTTATATGTAATCAAAGAATTACAAATTACTTGCCTGATAAACTGACAACAACTTTAAAAAACCTAGTCTTTGGCCTATGCAAAATTAGTAGGATTGTAAGATTTTTCCAGTACACATCACCGCCTCCCAACTGGCACCTGCCTAACAGTCTTAGAGGCAAATCCATGGGTAAGGTTTCTCAGGATTGAAATGTCTTGACAGAAAAGTGAAAGAATCTCATTTGCTG